GTGTAGAAAGTGGGGGTGACCCTGAATCGGTTGCAGTTATTGTTATATTGTATTCAGGTTTTGTTTCTCGATCAAAAGCTACATCTGAGAGCAAATTGTAATAATCGGTCAAAGAAGACTGGATTTTAAATGGGAGATTAGAATCTATGGAGCACGTTATATGACCATTTCTTTCTGAGTCTGCATCTTTAACATTAAAAACAGCTATAGTTGTACCCGGAGAAACATCCTCTGAAATGATGCTCGAAAATGACATTATACTTATAAGGGGCGCATTATCATTTATGTCCAGGACCTCAACGACAACTTTGGTTGCATCACTCAGTCCTCCCTGGTCTTTGGCGATCACTCTTATTTCATACTTCTTGTCTTTTTCAAAATCAATGTTATCAACAACAGTAATTTTTCCGGAGGAACTATCAATTTCAAATTTTTCCGCGGATTTCCCCTTTACGTTAGAAAACGTGTAGGAAACCAAGCCATTTGAACCACTGTCTGCATCTGAAGCATTCACTGTAGTTATATAGGTGCCTATGGGCGCATTTTCTGCTACAGTAGCTTTATATAGCGATTGATTAAAAACAGGAGGATTATCGTTGACATCAAGAACAGTGATATCTATGTTCACTGTACCAGATCGCCGTGGAGTTCCTCCGTCTACTGCAATCAGCTTTAAGGAGAGGTGTGGGTTCAACTCTCTGTCTAAAGGCTTCTGTAAAATCATTACAGCGAATCTAACTCCGTCGGCGTTAGACAGCTGCTTTAAGACAAAATTATTATCAGGGGACAAAACATAATTCTGCAAGCTGTGAATTCCTGAATCGGGGTCATATGCGCTTTCTAAATCAAAATGAGACCCCACTGTAGCAGATTCACTAATTTCTAGTTTAATCACCTTACTTTTGAACGTCGGTGCATGGTCGTTTATGTCTAATATTTCTACTGTCACTCTGTGCAGTTCAATGGGATTTTCTAAAATAATTTCAAAGCTTAAACTGCATGGCATTACGTCTCCGCAAAGCTCTTCTCGGTCAATTCTCTCCTTCACGACTAGAATCCCTTTGTCTGCCTTCAGCTCTGTGTACTGACTAGTATCTCCGCTCACGATCCGAGCCCGGCCAGAACGGAGCCTTCTCAGATCTAAACCAAGGTCTTGTGCTACATTACCAATAAGAGAACCTTCCTTCATCTCCTCTGGTACTGAATAACGGATTTGGCCTCTGATGGTGGAAATCATGAAGACAAAGATGAAGAGAAGCCATGTCGTCGTCTCACACATCAGCCGTTTTCGGAATGGCTGCTGCTGTATCCCCATGTTGCTACTAAAATAAATCCAAAACACGACTTGAGATCAGTCGGTCACACATAAAAAAACCAAATTGGATCCCAGTTCAATGGCGATGCGCCTTTAACTGTTAAAACGGTTGGATTGCTATTAAACAGGCAGATTCACTGTGACTCTCTCCAACGTCTCTCTGAATAAAGATTGGTTTTAGACCTCTCCTCTTTCTCTCGGCTGTCTGTAACAATACCACAACGTTTTCCTGATCAACAGCGTCCCTTAGAGTCCAAACCGAGTAGAGAAGCGAATACACTGCAAATGCATAAAAAATTACTATGCAACATACTGCGGGAACAGAACAGCTCAACTATAGATTAGTTGCAAATAATAATAACAGAAGAAATATATAGCACCAGATGTAGCATAAAGACACATACTGTATACCAAATGAGAGCAAACGCGATATATAACAACTTTAGAAGAATAGGCTTTAATTAGCTCTAAACTTCTAAACACTTTAAAGTCGAGAAAGTGAAATAAATACAAAGGTTAAAGAAGAGCAGTGATTACAAGGAAAAGCCGGTATATTTAGTAGACAAGCCTCAAAAGAACAAAAACACGAGGAAACTGTAAATATTTATGAATAATATTTAGTACATTTAAAATGTGGAAAAACATCGGCATAATTTGTGTATCCTACTTCGCTTGGCAGTGTAATAATTATAATGAAAATACTGATACTATGTTAATAGAAAATATAACATCACGATATTGTTTGAGAATATGGATAAGATAATCATTTTTAAAGTTCTTCATGTGAATGCAAAAACTATGTCAACTGATCGAAAGCGAGTGTACTGTCCATGGTGCTGAAAAGAAAAACGTACTGTGCCACTCAGCTAAAGCGCTGAAAAGGAAAAAACTAACCTCTAGAGGAGAGTCTGGTTCATCCAGGATGCTCTTTGCACTCTGTATCCGCTGCATCGTTCCTGTAGAACTGGGGTCCATTATCA